ACTGTGCAAGTTGCATACTGGACCAGGACTGACTTCCAAACTATTTGTGATGTCACAAATCATGCCGGTAGGCCCCGCCCCTTAAAATCTGATTTAAAGTGAGCACATTGAACATTTCAGCGGATAAATGTGAAAACGTCCTTCTAGTGTCAAACTCTGCACATACAGCATTCATACTGCACACTGTAGGAAAAAGAAGAAACGCTGATTTCTGACTGGAGGGGGATTTTATCTGTTCTCTCCAAATAGCAAATGTCTCCGATTGTCCTTTAATGGCTTAATTCGACACTCGTGTGGCTTTGTTTGGCTTGCCAGTTTTTAGTCCTCTTAAAGCCCAGCGAAGACTCAAGGGCTCTATAATGAGTCTCAGTTAGAGGAGGCTAGGAGACGGAGTGAGGATCAGCAGCATTTTACTGCTGCTCGCTCTGCTCTCTCTCTCTGCCTCCATCAAAGACAACAAAAGCAATTAAAGTCCGAAGCCTCGAGAGGAGGGGATGGAGATTGACTGTTGGCAACAATAGGTTTTACCCTCAGCCCTGGGGCTCCTAGGAGTAAATGTCAAGTCCCCACGGTGGGTTGGGGTTATGGGTCTGGGTTGCTGTGGTGCTGTCTCCCAGCCTTTTGCTCCATTCTCAGTGTTTTACTGCCTCTGTCTCTGTCTGTCTTTGTGTTACTCAGGAAACATTTAGCTGCAGATAATTAGAAACATTTTCTTTCTTTAGTCGCATGTAATGATCTAAAATCCCATTTTTGTAGTGGGCAAACATTCCAAATTACTACACCTTACTAATTAAATTGAAGGATGATTCTGACTGAAGTCATTTGAGGGTCTCTCATACAACTGTTGATGTACTGTAAAACTTAAAATTTTAATTCAATTCAATTTAAAGCCAGGTCCCAATTAGATGCAGGGCCCTTTTATTAGCCTGGTGTGACTGTGTTTTGACAAATAAAAGCAGGTCTCAATTAGAAGCCTGATTTCATAAAAGTTCTCTGGATGTATAAAACCTCTTAAAGCCCATTGGGTCGCCAGCTTGAGTGAGTTCTAAGATGCTTGGATCACTTACACAAATATAAATGTTTAAAAATTTGTCAATACGGATCAGTTATATTCTCCACAATTCAATTGTTCTGTTCTTTTTACAGAAACCAGGAGCAATTTTTATACAAGTAATATTCACACTTGTTTAAATTAAAGTAAGAAAGTAATTAAAGGCCTGTTCCATATAGACATTTGTTTCAAATGAAGGCAGATTGAGTTCAGTGATTTGAAGCAAATAAAAGCCTTACAGTATGTGGGTAACTGCCTTTTGGTCCTGCAGAGTTTGCATAACCAACTAACAGCTACTGTATTTTAGCTGTGTGATCTGACGGAGAGGTAGAGGCCACTCTAGGTAGGACAGTACTAGTAGTATTATAGAAATCTCATATTCCGGGATAGGTCATTTTATATCCAAATAATGATACAGCACATTTAATGTAAATTCAATTAATAAATGTTTTAAATATTATATATATATAATAAAATATGGCCTCTTGCAAGGTCTGAGTGTGGGGTTTGTTTTGCATACTTGACTGTACGTTTGTGGCTCTCTTAATTCAAATCAATTCAATTTTATTTGTATATAGCCAAATTATAGTGTAGAGAAAGACAGACAGATTCACAGCAATAACAACAGTAACAACTATAATAGGAGGAATATAATAATAAAAAATAATAATATAATAAAAATAATAAAACAATACAATCAAAATAATATAAAGTAATGAATATTAATAAAATATAATAAAAAATAATGAATAATAATAATAAAGAAGCAGAAGAAGAAACAGCAGCAGCAGCATGCGGAAGAATGCAAAGCATCATCTAAATTACGAAAACTATTATACACAATTTAATGACTCTGATCCCAAACATATCCTGTGTCGTTTAACGCACCTCATAATCTTAATTAAACAACTGAAAAAGTTTTATTTAATAATTTCACAAATACAAAAATATAGTATCTGTTTCAAACACACACACATATACATATACATACATCAGAGACCATCTCTCCACACGAGCCTTACACAGCTGTCTGAACCCATCGGGACACAAACACACTTGCTCACAAATGTGCAGCCTGGTGTGTTTGGAACAGTGTCTTCCTGAAGTTGTCTCTCAGAGAGCTGGTTAGAGAAGGATGCTGCTGTGCTATACAGCGGGTGTGTTTGTTGTACTGTGCAGCACAGCAATGTCCCAATGACCCTCACTCTGAGGGCACGTCTTAGGGCCTTTGGTCTTTAATCTGGGTACTGTACTCCCACTTAAAGAAGCTATAATCAATATTTTTAGAATAACGATATATTAATTGACGATCCAAAGAGGGTTGAATTAAGGATATACAGGATACAAGCTGTTTAGCCTGTCATTCAAAGGACTTTGTCAGTTTTAACTGACTGGCGGCTCCTTCAGTCTTCAGTTAGGACTGAACTGAAGTCCAGTTGCCCTCGATTCAACCCTCCTTGGATAATGATGGCCTGGATGACTGAGAATCTTAAGACATCACTTGACAATGTGTAGACTGTAACAATGTGTTCAGCATCTCTGGTAGTGATGAACCTCCAGAGAATGGTCATCCCCCGTCAGCTTTAATGAGCTTTATGTGTGTTTTAGCCCCTTGTTTAGTAGGTGTCAGTGGAAAAACACCAAAAACCCACTGACACAATGTCTGGTGAACACGTAGCAGAGGTGTGGACGTCACAAATTTGATGATTTTAGACTTGACTTGACAAAATCAAAAAGACTTGCAAGTTGCCTTGGACTTTAACACCAAGTGTACGAAGGATCAATTAATTTCCCTTTATTTCCTGATTCAACTAATGCTAACAGCATGTTTTTCCAGCAGTTTTGAGTGGAACCATAGTAGTAGGTATGTATGATGATAGTATGCGTCATTAAGAGAGGGCACTGCATAATGCACCAAAACAAATGTTCTGAACGGTTCTTTTATCGTCTTTAATCGATAGTGATAGGAAAAGGGGGAGAGAGAAGAGGAGATGACACGCAGTAAAGGGTCGAATTTGAACCCTGGGCAACCCAGTTGCTTGAACCGGAACAGACCTGGTTTGTTGTTGGCGAAGAAGGCTTCAAGCCAGAATAAAGAGACAGATTTTTCCCTCAAGTGTTGGTGGAAACCAAAACAGAACTAGAAGAGAGTGAATATTGGATTATGACATTCATAAAGTGGACACAAACGTCACGTCTTCAAATTCAGCATATTAACTTAAGAGGAGATGATATGTCAGTGTTGTGATCACAATCATCATGTCCGAAAATCCCTTATTGCAGGTTTAAGTGAAAACATATGGGTTTTGATATTAAAGTATCCTGTAGCTTAAAGTATCCTGTAGCATAGTAAAATGCTGTTTTTACAGTGCTCTGAATGATATTATAAATGCCAACTAATTTATATCTGGCACGGATACTGTATGCATAGATTATTATAATGAAGTCCTGTAGTGCTGAAGAGATTCCCTGGCCGTTTGTTCGGTACAGAGCCC